TTTGCACTGAAGGCAATCTTTGCTAGGAATGTTTCTTGATAGTAGGCTAGACAACTGTTGAATTGAACAAGACTCAAAGACTATTGCACACAGTAATACAACAAAATGAATGCCATATCTGGGTTTACGTGTTCTTGTCACATCTTCCTTGTTTTGCATTGAAAGTTACAGATTAAAGTGCTTCATGTTGCAAAAGTAGCAGAATTCCTCAAATGATGTATGTGCTATGAACGGATTACAAGTATGCTGAGATTTGTATTTTTGCAGCACTCAGAGTAGTAGCCCAGGACCTGAAGTGGTCAGAGTTCTTCAGAATAAAGTGACAAGAGTCCTAGAACCAATTACCCCTGACCTGAGAAATTCTCTTTGCTTACCTCAGTGTGTCACGTAAGCATTATCACCATTCTCTACATGTGTCATAATGAGAAGTGGTTTATAATTCCTGGGCCATTGTAATTTTGACTATGTTTGTGAACATGTTAATATGTAATATTTAATCAAGTCCTATTCTGTGGGCCCCTAACTGCATTAGATGTCTTATATTTACTTATGAAATATCTTAGAGAACTTTCCTGGAGATTTTATTTTGCTGTTTCATTTCTATGTTTTATTCAAGAAAATATGTGAAACTGTTTATAATCTTAGCTCAGATTTGAACACTGAATAGCTACTCTCCCATTAGGAAACGTTTTGCCATGGTTGAAATGCCTTTTCTTTAAAAGAGACCGGGAGCCTATAATTAGAATATAAGGTTACTCTCTTTTTAGAATAAAACCATAACCACTAGCATTTACTGCTGCTATAATTGAAAGAAGAAGAAATACTCATTTCTTTCTTGTAGTTAAGATGTTTGAGTCTAGAGTGAAATCTGTCACCTGTGATAACTAGTTAATCGATTTATTTATTTTAAAAATATTCATTGAGTGTCTGTTCTATGCAATGATATGTTTAGAGGGAAAATAAATGCATAAGGCATGGCTCCTGTTCTCAAGTTTATAGTCTATTTGAAGAGACAAGACATAAACGGATTTAAAAAGACAGTTTAAAATATATTTATGTGCTGCATGACGACGTTTCAGTTGGTGACAGACTGAATATATAATGGTGGACCCATAAGATTATAATGGAGCTGAAAAGTTCTTATTGCCTATTGATGTAATTACCATTTCTATGTTTATTTCTATGGTTATATACACAACTATCATTTTATTATACAATTGTCTACACTATTCAGTACATCCACATGCTATACAGATTTATAGTCTAGTAGCAACAGGCTACACCATATACCCTAAATGTGTAGGAGACTATATCATCCAGGTTGGTGTAAGTATATCCTATGATGGTTTCCAAGTGACAAAATAACCTAACAATTCATTTCTCAGGATGTATCCTCATTGTTAAGACCCATGTCTGTAATGTTTCTGGACTATTTTCTATGGTGACATAAAATTAAACACCAAAGGACTCTCATAGTAATTATAAGTGATAGGAGTTTAAAGAAGTACCAGTATGTTATGTAACTTCCCGGAGTTGATGTGAGCTAAGCTGGTCTTTGATGAAGGGAAGAATAAAAATAGTAATAGCAAAAACTTACCTAGCAACTACTCTGTGCCGGGCACATTCTTCAGAATTTTATATATTAGCTCACTTAATTATCTTAAACACCCTATGAAACAGCACATTTAATAACTTGCCCAAAGTAATACAAGAAGTAAGTAGTACTTGTGTATGCTTTGTGAAGTTCTCATGCTGTGCTTTTCAGCTCCATCAAGTCATTTATGTTCTTCTCTAACTTGGTTATTCTATTTAGCATTTTGTCTAACCTTTTTTCAAGGTTTTTAGTTTCTTTGCTTTGGGTTAGGACATGTTCCTTTAGCTCAGAGAAGTTTGTTATTATCCACCTTCTGAAGCCTGCTTCTGTCAATTCATCAAACTCATTCTCCATCCAGTCTTGTTCCCTTGCTGGTGAGGAGTTGTTATCCCTTGGAGGAGGAGAGGCATTCTGATCCTTGATGATTTCATTCTTTTTGTGCTGGTTTCTTTCCATCTTCATGGGTTTATCTACCTTTGATCTTTGAACTTGGTGATTTCAGATGGGGTCTCTGAGTTGACGTCTTTTCTGTTGATACTGAAGCTCTTTCTTTTTGTTTTTTTTTTTTTTTATTTTCCTTTTAACAGTCAGGCCCATCTGCTGTAGGACCACTGGAGGCCCACTCCAGAACTTGCTTGCCTGAGAATCACCCAAGTGGGGTGCAGAGCAGTGAGGACTGCTGCCTGATCTTTCCTCTGGTAGGTTCATCCCAGAAAGGTACCCACCCACCAGGTGTCAGTCTGAGCTCTCCTGTATAAGGCGTTTTTTTTTTTTTTTTTGGTTATTCAGGGGTCAGGGAGCTGGTTGAGGAGGCAGTCTGTCCCTTATCTGCCTGCAGAGGTGCTTGTGGGCTGCCTCCAACTCAGCCCAGCTACTGTGTAGGCATCCTCTGGCTTTTGTTTACACAGGTAAAATTAGGACTGCCTTCGAAATGGCAGACACCATTCCCTTCACCAAGCTCAATTGTCCTGAGTGCAGCTCAGACTGATGTGCTGGCTGTGGAACCCTCAAGTGAGAGGGTTTCAGTTTGCTGGTCTTTGTGGGGGTGTGACCTGCCAAGCCACATCACCTCTCTCCCTGCTTTCAGCTCTCCCTCTTCCTAGGAGGTGGGTAGGTCCGTCCTGCAAGCACACTTGGTGCTAGTCAAAACTTCCGCCCAGATCTTGCAGCTCTGGGCAGGCTGGAGCTGTAGCTCAGATCTCTGTTGGTAACTTCTGGTGCTTTTCAGCCTAGTGGCATTCTCCTGGACTGCTGGTTGCAACAGCCATGGCAGAAGTGCAATATCTGAACCAGAGTGCCAAGGTGGTAAAGTCCCTGATCCTTTGTCCAATTACACTTCCCAGGTGGGGCAAACAACTGTTTGCTCACAAATTTAAAAATGTAGAAAAAATTGAACAATTCCTTTAAAAAACCACAAACTACCAAAATAAAAAATTAATAAAATTATATAGGTGATATAATTAGTCCTGTAATCAACAAGGAGAATGAATTTGTAATTTAGTAAGTCTATTCTCTTGTCTGTCACCATGTAAGGCCAGAGGAGATATGGCCTTACAACTTCTGCCGTAATTTTGAGGCCCCCAGGCATGTGGAACTATAAGTTCATTAAACGTCTTTCTTTTCTAAATTTCCCTGTCTCTGATAGGTCTTTATCAGCAATGTGAAAATGGACTAATATATCAAGCTACTCAAGCATAGTGGATTACACAAGGTAGGAACATCAGGAGGCTGGGATCATTATAGATCATATCAGAAGCTGCCTTCCAAATTGAGTAATGGTAAGCATATCCAGAAACAGATAATACAATTTTATGGGGAAGGTAGATAGCTACAATCGTGTCAGAGAAAAATCTAGCAAAATTTAGAAACCTTATTGCTATGGACTGAATGTGTCCTCCCCAAATTTGCATGTTGAAACTCTTATACTCAATGTGGTATTTGGAGGTGGAGTGTTTGGTAGGTAATTAGGGTGGGAGTAGGTTTTGAATGTGGGGTCCTAATCTAATCATGGGATGAATGCCCTTATGAAAACAAAAACACCATACTCCGGCCCTCTTGATGCACCCAACACAGAAAGGTCATATGAGAACATAACCAGAAATGCCCTTGCCAGAACCTGACCATGCTGGTGCCCTGATTTTTTAGTTCAAACCTTTAGAGCTGTGATAAATAGTTTATTGTTTAAGCTACCGAATCTATAGAATTCTCTTATAGCACCCTGAAATGACTAAGACAATTGTATATGTCTATTACATAGGAATTACCTAGGAATCCTATTCCTGAACATACACCTTAAAGAGACATAAGCAGAATTCCACAAAAGGTCATGAGCTACTAATGAGGCTTGTGGCAGCATCATCAGTAGCAGTAAGGTACACCATTAACAAAGGTAACCCTCAAAGGAAGAAGAAAATGAACAAGCACAATGCAACATTACAAGCAATGAAAAATAGATGCATATAGCAGTTTCATTACAATGCCTATACATTCACAAATGTACATATTTAACAAGTTCACATGATTATCAAGAATAAAAACATATGAAAGAACAACATTCAAACACATCAGGCGTTTCACATGTAGGTGTATTTTGGTGGGAAAGAAATTAGTAATAGGAACTGGGAAGACAGACAGAAAAATCCAATAAAATAGAGAAATAACCTCTCAAATATCAATAATGATAATGTGGTCAGAGTCCATGAATAGAACAAAAGTAAAGATAAAAGAAATTTTCATAAATGGACAGTTAATTCAAATCCCTTTCTGTCAATTACAGGGCTAGTGGATATTAATGAAAATAAGCTGCCTTTAATGCCAACTGTGATAGGTACAAAGATGTTTATTTGTGGGAAATGTCTTTTGTTTGTAGAATTATTCACCTCTCCAGTGACACTGAAATATATCCATATTGTTTTTAGAGGGACTTTAGGTAAAATATCAAAAGTAACAGCTAATGACTTGGGGAGGGAGACAGTAGAATAAACCAATGAGTAGGTGTGACCTTGGGGAATAGATTGAAGGAAACTGTTTGCTATGTGGGCCACCACAGTTGAACATAGGTATATGAGGAGGGGTGGCAATTCAGTTTGAGAAGGCATACAAGAGACTGTTATAGAAAACCCTCTTTTCTACCACCAGGTTATCCTTGTCTTTATATCATCCCCCCAAACAGAGGTGGCAGGAATGGTACATTCTGATGTCTAAGCCTTCCCACGTACCTTCCCCCCACCTCACAAAAAGGTGACAAAAGCAGTGCTCTGTGACGTCTTAGTGTCTCTTAGCTCTCATTGGCTGGGAGAGTGCCTTGCTGACCAATCAGAATTGAAGAGCATAGCTCCTCATTGTGCTGGGAGGGGTATACATAGGACGATCAGGAGCTCTGAGTAGACCACTGGGAGACTTCAGTATGGCAAAGGTGACCAGTAAATCACAGGAGCCTAATGAAGATGTGGACAAGCAGACGCCATCAACCCCAAGAACCAAAGGGAGGAAGAAGGGGAAGACTCCCTGTCAACCAAGATCCAGAAGTGGTGTTAAGGTGAGATAATCCTGCCCAAGCCCCTTCTCTTTGCCCACTGACTCCCCCACCCCAAGACTCCTATCCTTCTCTTGCCTTACACAAACCCCCTCCTCAATTCACACCCCTTATCATAAAGTCCATTCCTATACATTTCCCACCTTTCCCAAAACCAATGCCCTCTGGCCTGTGTTGTCTCTATAGGGGCTAAAGACCACCATGAAGGCAAAAAGACCCCTTCGAGGGAACTCAAGCCAAAAAGCCTCTGGAACTAACACCCCTACAAGAAAACTTAAGAAAGCTAAAGGGCCAATACTGTATGGTCATTATCAACGGCTGAAAGAAAAAATGAAGAAAGAAGAGGCAGAAGAAGACCAAAAGACTGAGGAGAGCTCCAGCGTTTCAAGTGATGACCTGAACAGCCAATAATTTCAAAGGGAAAAGAGAGACCTCACCTCTGTGATGTCTCTAGCGGTCTGGCCACTGAGAAGTAATCAATCAGGCAGACAATGAATTCTACACCAACAGGTTAAAATCATGAAAATAAAATCAACCTGAATCGAAAAGATATGTTTCTGTGGGTTCTCTGATGGTGGGGAAGGAAAAAGTGAAGGGAAGAGGGAGGTGTGCGTGAGAAGGCAGGAAGGTGGGTTCTGTGGGGTTTGGGGCCAGACCAACGGGTCCACAACGGATACTGGGGGATAAGGACTGGCTCAGGACTAAGCACTGAAGACAATTTTCCTGAAAACTTTATTGAGCAAACAGTAAAGGGGCTTGGTGTTTTTACCTGTGTGTGTTTTGGTGGGGAATGGGGGGGGGGGGGGCGTGACTTCAGTGTGTTGTCAGAACCTGTATGGGGTGAGGTTTGTGGGTGGCAGTACTATTCCCAATAATAGACAAATAAATAACCTGCAGGCCATCTATCTCATAGTGGTAGGTATGGGGTACAACCAACCCTATAATATAAGCAACTAAATGCCCTTCAAAGGGCCAAAAATCCCTAAAAGTTCCCAACAGCACCTGAAGGACTGAAGTCATGGTTACTAGAAGCCACAAATCCAATACTGACTAGCCCACTTTCTTAAAAAGCTTGGGGCAGAGCAGTGGGAGTGGTCTGCCTGTAGCGCAGGCCTTGAATGAGAGCTTTGTCTTAGTGTCTCTTAGCTCTCATTGGCTGGGAGAGTGCCTTGCTGACCAATCAAAACTGAAGGGTGTGGCTCCTCATTGTGCTGGGGGGGTATGCCTAGGATGATCAGGAGGCCATGAATAAGATCACTGTCTACAGAGAATTTTCAAACAACATAGCTCTCTCTCCAAACATCTTTTATTTTTATTTTTCCAAAGCTCTTTTTATCTGTGAAGAGAATATCATTTTTAAACAGCTTTACTGAAGTATAATTTACATATGACCAACTGCACATGCTTAAAAAGTGTACAATTTGATGAGTTTTGTCACATAGGCACTTGTTAAACTATCACCATGACTATAATAGTAAACATACCCATAACCCCCTAAAATTTTCTTATGCCTTTTGGCAATTCTTTCCTGCCCGTATTTCAACCACCATTCTAAAAAAAAAATAAAATAAAATGAAATGAAAACACTGACCACTAATCTGATTGGCTTTCTGTCATTATCAATTTCCATTTTCTAGAGGTTTATAAGAATGGAATTAGAAAATATATACTCTTTTTTTTTTTTTGGTCCAGCTTCTTAGAACAACTATTTTATCTTTTCTTCCCCAAAAATATTTTTTTGGTCTACTTTTTAAAAGATTGCTGTGGTCAGTAAGTTTTAATCGTGGCTCTGAGAGTGGTCCAAAAATAGCACAATTTATCATTATATTTTAATGAATACTAATTGTATTCTAGAAGGAAATTAATGCAGATAATTTCCTGTTATACCATTGGCCTCAGATATCATCTGACTCAATTGTTGCTGTTTCTTTCTAAAGCAAGTTCCTAAGGATCTGGTATTTCTTGCAATGCACTTTGAGCCATAATCCATGACCCTATATGACACACGTATACTAGCAATTAAACAATATTTCTAAAACAATAATACTACAGTGACTGATTTTAAAATAAAGGGATAATTTGAGTATTTCATGTGCTGTCATTCCATGTGACCACTTGTTTGTATGATGTCTAAGTTAATGAAATAAAATATGAATGACAAGGTATAAATGTTTTTTGAGAAGTTCACATTTTTACTTCATTTAAACAAAAATACTTTGTAAAGTTGAACTGTATCTTTAAAAGTGAAATGTATCCGGCCGGGCGCCATGGCTCAAGCCTGTAATCCCAGCACTTTGGGAGGCCGAGGCAGGTGGATCATGAGGTCAAGAGATCGAGACCATCCTGGTCAACATGGTGAAACCCCGTCTCTACTAAAAAAAAATACAAAAATTAGCTGGGCATGGTGGCGCGTGCCTGTAATCCCAGCTACTCAGGAGGCTGAGGCAGGAGAATTGCCTGAACCCAGGAGGCAGAGGTTGCCGTGAGCTGAGATCGCGCCATTGCACTCCAGCCTGGGTAATGAGAGTGAAACTCCGTCTCAAAAAAAAAAAAAAAAAAAAAAAAAGTGAAATGTATTCTTCTTTAACTGTTTAATACTTATTTTAAAAAAAAAGTGAAATGTATTCTTCTTTAAGTGTTTAATACTTATTTTAAAACCACAGACCAATTCAAGGAAATAAAATGTTACATCAACTGGGTAATTTATTGACTAATTTGTCCCTTTTGCACAATTTGGGGGTTTCTTAAAATGCCATTTTATATTTTACTTTTACTAATACATATATATATATATATATATATATATATATATATATATATATATAAAATAGCTCACTAAAAACAATTACACCATATTTCTTTATTAATCCTTGTTATTTCTTGTTTTGATTTATGATTATTACTGAAAATGTGTTCTACTGAGAAGGGGGCATTAAAAAGCATTCCCCATTTGGTTTTAAATACACTAATTATGTCAAGGGTAGAATGCTTTTTTTTTGTTCAAATACTCATATTTTGGTCCTCGTGTCTGGAATCTTTTGGTTTTCTTTTAAACAGTTTTATTCAGATGTAACAGACTGTAATAATAAACAATTAATTAGAGTTGACACATATACACCTGTGAAACCATCATCACAATTAAAATAACTTTATCTGTCACCTTATCAGGTTTGTTTAGTTTTTTGCCACCTTGTACTTTTTCCTCCCACTTCTTCCCAATTCCCAAAAACTCACTGATCTTCCTTCTGTCTCTGTAGGTTAGTTTGCAATTCTAGAGTTTCATATAAATGGGATTAGATTAGGTACTTAATTTTATCTAGCTTCTTCCACTCAGCATAATTTTGAGTGTCATCAATGTTGTTGCATACATCAATACTACATTCTTTTTTGTACTTTTTTTATTACTTTGTTGAGAGTTTATCAGCACTAAAATGATACCACAAAGTTGCTTGAATTTTATTTTTTATGATAATTGGAGATTTATGGGCAATTGTGAGAAATAGAGAGATGTCTTATATCCTTCACTCAGATTCTCCTGATGGTAATGTCTGCTATAAACACAGTATGGTATCACATTAATAAATCAACATAAATAAAATCCATTTATCTTCTTCAGATTTCACCAGCTTTACATGCACAAATGTGTGTGCAGGTTTGTGTGTGTTACATTCTATGTAATTTTATCACCTGTAGAATTTTCCATGACTACTGATATAGTCAAGATAAACACAATTTACTTCACAAAGAACTCTCACACTAACCGTTTATAAGCACAGCCATTTTTCTCCCACTTCCCCATCCCTGAAACTCAGTAAATTGTTCTTTATCTTTCTAATTTTATCGTTATAAGAATGTCACATAAATTGAATAATGCACTATGTAAACTTCTGAGATAAAATTTTTTTAATCAGTATAAATGTCTTGAGACCCATTCAAGTTGCCGTGTGCAACATAGTTGTTTTTGTTTGTTCATTTGTTTGTTTTGTTGGTAAGTAATATTCTGTGCCCCATGCAAATCAGAAATCCAGTGGGGCAATCAAATCTTAAAGTTCCAAAATGATCTCCTTAGACCTCATGTCTGTCATCTGGGTCATGCTGAGGCAAGAGATGGGTTCTGATGGCCTTGGACAGCTCTATTCCTGTGACTTTTCACGGCATAGTCTCCCTTTTGGCTGCTGTCATGGGCTAGCACTTAGTGTCTGTGGCTTCTTCAGGTGCACTGTGCAAGCTGTCGGTGGATATACCATTCTGGGATCTGGAGGATGGTGGCCCTTTCCTCACAGCTCCAATAGGTGGTACACCAGTAAGGGCTCTGTGTGAGGGCTCTGACCCCACATTTCCCTTCTGCACTGCGCTAGCAGAGGTTCTCCATAAGCAGCACCCCCCACCCTCCACCCCCCACCCACAGCAAACTTCTGCCTGAGCATCCAGGTGTTTTCGTATATCTTCTGAAATCTAGGTAAAGGTTTCCAAACCTCAATTCTTGACTTCTGTGTACCTGAAAGCTAAACACCACGTGGAAGCTGCCAAGGCTTGGGGCTTCCACCCTCTCAAGCCACAGGCCGAACCATACACTGGCCCCTTTCAGCCACAGCTGGAGTAGTTTGGATGTAGGGCACCAAATCTCTAGGCTGCGCACAGCACAGGAAGTCTGGGCACAGTCCATGAAGCCATTTTCTTCTAGGCCTTTAGGTCTTTAATAGGTGGGGTTGCCTTGAAGACCTCTGGCATACCCTGGAGACATTTTCCCCATTGTCTTAGGAATTCATATTTGGCTCCTCATTTCTTATGCCAGTTTCTGAAACTGGCTTAAATTTCTCCTCAGAAAATGAAATTTTCTTCTTAATTGTATTGTCAGGCTGAATCATCTCTCTCAAGTTCAAAGTTCCACAAATCTCCAGGGCAGGGGCAAAATGCTGTCAGTCTCTTTGCTCCAGTTCCCAACAAGTTCCTCATTTCCATCTGAGACCACCTCAGCCTGGACTTTATTGTTCATATTACTATCAGCATTTTGGGCAAAGCCAAACTTGCTTTCACATTTTCTTGTATCTTTTCAGCAGCACCCCCTCCTCTGGTACCAATTTACTGTATTAGTCCATTTTCACTCTGCTGATGAAGACATACCCAAGACTGGGAAATTTAGAAAAGAAAGAGGTTTAATGAACTTACAGTTCCATGTGGCTGGGGTCTTCACAATTATGGTGGAATTTAAAAGTATGTCTCACATAGTGACAGATAAGAGGAGACTTATTAAATTACAAATTCATTATCTTTGTTATAGGACTAATTATATCAATTGTATAATTTTTTTTAATTCATTTTTGGTAGTTGGTTGTTTTTTAAGAAATTGATCAATTTTTTCTACATTTTTGAATTTATGAGCATACAGTTGTTCACAGTATTCTCTTATT